CCGTGGCCTATGAATTTAAGGCCCTCGGATTTTGCGGCTATCCCTGAGAACCTGAGTGGTTTCGCTTGAGATATCTGCAGGGAAAGACCCCTGCCCCTAATTTTGTCAGGCCCTCCTACATTCGGCCCCTCCCAAAGGGCCACAGTTAAGTCGGGCCTGTCTTCTCACATGAGGAATGTCCAAACATAGTCAAAACATAGTATTGGGACGATGTTTTTTCCCCCATTTTCTAGGGGGGGCGGATGATTCCCTACCTAGGCTCTGCCTAGAAGGGTTCTTACTCGGTAAGCTTAAAGGGCCGGGCAGTGGAATGCGCCCCGGGCGGTTCCCCTGGTATCCGCCCCGCGGTTCCCCCAGTTGCGCCCCCCTGGGTTCACCCAGCTTAGCTAAGCTAAGCTTAGCTTAGCTTAGCTTATCTCATCTTAGCTTAGCTTAACTTAGCTTAGCTTTGCCTAGCCTAGCTTAGCTTAGCTTAGCTTAGCGTAGCGCATCTCATCTTAGTTTGGCTTAGCTTAGCTTGGCTTAACGTAGCTTAGGTTAGCCTATCCTAGCTTAGCGTTGCTTAGCTTAGCTTAGCATAGCTTAGCTTACCTTAACTTAGCTTAGCGCAGCGCAGCATAACGCAGCGCAGCATTAGCACAGCATAGCATAGCATAGCATAGCCAAGCATAGCCAAGCATAGTATAGCATAGTTCAGCAACACATAGCATAGCATAGCATAGCGTAGCATGGCATATCATAGCATAGCATTGCTTAGCATAGCACAGCGTAGTATAGCATAGCATAGCATAGCACATCGTAGCATCGCATAGCATATCATAGCATATCATAACGCAACATAGCAGATCATAGCATAGCATAGCACAGCAGATCGCAGCACAGCACATATCATAGCCTAACATAGCATATCATTGATATGTCTGCAGATAGCATAGTATCATATCATACCATAGCATAGCATATCATAGCCTAGCATAACATAGCATAGTATCATATCATAGCATAGTATAGCATTAATATGTAGGTGTAGATGTGGATGTAGGAGTAGGTGTAGATGTAGGTGTAGATGTAGATGTAGATGTGAGTCTCGCTGTTGATGTTGATGTAGATGTAGATGCAGGTGTAGATGTACACGTAGCTGTCGGTGTAGATGTAGATGCGGCTTTCCTAAATGCTCCAACTCCTAGGTATGGTCGCCACTGGGATAATTTTAATTGTTCTGATTGTTTAACTTGTCCTCGGAAATCCGCCTGTAGGGAGGATATGCCCGACCTGAGGCTACGGGTATTTTCATTGCTTGTCTTCAAGAGCAGACGACCGCCTGGCAGGAGTTCTTCTGCGCTCGGGTCCGCCTCGGGCCCGCCGCCCGGGAGCCCTACGGTCCGATATCGCCCCCGAGATGGTCCCCCACGTGCGGGGGGAGGAGAAGGAGGAGGAGGAGGAGGAGGAGGAGGAGGAGGAGGACCAGAGTAAGCTCATGACTCGCCAACGATGTTGGGATAAACCCTCCCTCCAAGCTCCCTCTTCCCAGGCCCCAGCAAGGACCCATTTCTTCTCAGGGAAGTGCCCCATGGGGAGACAAAGGCTGAAAGATACGTGTGCCGGGCGACCATTTCCGGAACTTCAACGCCACGAATCTCTTTGACTGTTGCGTCTTGACGATCCCGAATCGTGCCAGAACGCTGTTTCTGGGACTTCAACACCGCGAATCAACATAACTGTTGCGACCTGACAATCCTAAACCGCTCCAGAGCACTTATCCTAGCTGGTGGGTTAACCATGGGAATCCGCACAACTCCTGCAATGTCTTAAGACGAATGGTCGCGGCGCTAAGGCGAGAGCCACCTTTTGAAAGCGACCCGCTCTCAATCCGCGAAACTCGTCTCACTGTTTAGAAAGAGTGTGCGCGGCGCTAAGGCTAATTAGAGCCACATTTTGAAAACGGCCCGCCCTCAATCCGTGACAGTCATGCTCTTTTTTCAAACAAATGTGCGCGGCGCTATGGCGAGAGCCACATTTTGAACACCGCCTGCCCTTAATCCGTGAAGCTCTTTCGCAAATGTTTAATACGAATGTGCGCTAAGGCGCGAGCCACATTTTGGAAGCGGCCCGCCCTCCATCTGTCAAATTGTCGCCAATTCGCACGCTTCAGGATTATATATGGTATGGAAGCCTCAGGCGAAACGCCGGGCCCGCCCTTCGGACTGGCCTCGGGGTACGACAGGGGGGAGTCATCTACCAGGAGAAAGCATGGAGGAAGCACCAGGAGGGAGGAAAGGATGAGGAGCAGGAGGAGATGGGAGGAGGAGGAGGAGGAGGAGGAGGAGAAGGAGGAGGAGGAGGCGGATAATGATTGAGGAGGGTGGAGGGAGTGGGGGGAGCGTGGTGGAGCAGCAGCAGGGGGTGGAGGCCGCGATCGATGCAAGGTTGAACGATCGAGGCGGTGTCACAAGCCTTGGCGCGCGTCGACGCCGCACGAACCTGCCGCATCCGAGAAGGCATGGGAGGCCGTCACGTGTGACACTTCGGGCCTCTGGACCGCCCTGGGGGCCTGCTGGGTGCCTCATGGGGGGGGGGCTCTTGGGGCCTCCTGGGCCCTGGTCTCGGGAGTGCCCGCCAGGCTCTCGGGGGCTCCTCGGGCCGTTGGAGAGAGCGCTCTGGGGCCGTCCGGGCTGCTCCGGAGTCTGTCGCGGGGGGCCTCTGGGGGCCGTGGGGTCCGTCTGAGGGCTCCCTTGGGGCGGCTCGGGTTCCTCGTGAACCGCTCTTGGGCCATCTTGAACCTCTTCTGGGCCGTCTCAGGGCCCTCTTGAGGCCCACGTGGGCTGTCCTGAGGCCATCTTGGAGGCTTCCTGGGCCGTCTTGATTCTTGGGCCGTCTTGAGCTCCCGGGCGCCCGAAAAGGTGAGAACACGACAGTCCATCAAGCACCAATGGACAATCAACTTGGCCTCTTCGGTCCGTGCTGGAGGTCCTCTTGAAACTCACTAGGGCCGTCTGGGAAGTCTCTTCGTCCGTCTTGGGGCCATCTTGGGCCGTCTTGGGGGCCATGATGGGCCGTCCTGGCGGCCTTGGTGGCATGCCTGGACTGTTTTGGGAAAGACCATCTTGAGCATCCTTGGCGCCCTGGAGAGCGTCAGGGAGCAGCGCGGAAACGCTGCTTTGCTGGACTTCGGCCGTGTTTCGTTGTCCCTGTTTGGCAGGGAGGTAACAGCGTACAACGAACAACAACACGAAGCAACACATCGAACAGCAAAGCAACAACGTTTGTTCCTGTAGAGCAGAACGAACAACACAACGAAACCAAAACGAGAAGCACAGCGTTTACGTTCAGGTCCAGCCCCGTCAGGGAGGCGTCGGGGCGCTGCTGCGTCGGGGCGGATGCGAGCAGCGCGGGGGGGGGGGAGCCTCAAGAGTCTGCAAGGGATGGCTTTCTTGTTCGAGGGCCCTCCCGTACCCCCCCTAAAACGACGCGAAGATCGGGACAAAATCGGATCGGGATAACTCGAAATCTCTGAGAATCGGCGGGTTTGGAGGATGTATTGGGAGCCGCGGCCGCTCCAGAGCGTTCCGGAACGCTCTGAGAGCGCTCCGGAACGCTCTGGAGCGATTTATCCCGATCCTAGCCCTGTTTTACCCCCCCCCTCCCCCCCCCCTCCTCCCCCGGAGCAGATCTTGGCTGCTGCTGGCGCTTGCTTCGGGCAGGTGGGGTCTTCCCCTATAATGGACGCACTGCTCCAAACAGTCGCACTGAGCCAAGGTCATGAGCCAGACCCCCCCACTCCCCCCCCGCCGTCCGCCCAACGTCGAAACGCCGAGTAAGAAAACGTCGACTAAACCATGCCTGACAGCGTCTGGCAGTCTACCACGCCTCAACGTGCCAGCTGGTCACGGTGGTGGATATAGCGACAGGACGGCTTGATCAGCGCCCCCAGGTTGGCCCACGGACCCATCTCCAGATGGTCTGTGGATCCACCCGGGGCGGCCGTTCTGAGGCCTTGCTCGAGATCCGAAGGCCCCACATGCACGGCCCAGGACCCCCGAAAGAGGGCGCCCCAAGAGGTATGGCATGGTATTGTCAAGATGTTCTTTGCCGCAAGCAGATCAGAGGGAGAGACCGAACGGTCATTTGACGGTCATTTGCTGTCCCTGGGTGCGTGGCGGAAGAGGGGTGCCGCGGTGCGGATTGTTGTTGCGTTGCGTTGCGTTGCGTTGCGTTGTCGTCGTCGTCCCTCTCGCGACCTGGCCCGCGACCCACCCGAGACCCGCCTGCGACCCTTCCGCGACTCACCCGCGACCTGCTTGCGACGCACCCCGCGCCCGCCCCCTCACTCTAATCTGCAACTGCGGGGTGCTACATATTTGGCGACGGTGCTACCTCAACATGCCTTGTGCACGAACTACTGAAATCGGTGATTTTTGCCTCGGCGACGGTACCTTCGGTGAACCACGAAGTGTCCTCGGTGCGCGATCGAGATTTGGCACGGGGCTGGCATCATATTCGTCCGCCTGCGGAACCAGATTCCTCGCATTGTTGAATTCGGCGGTGGGGTCGTAAACACATGTCCGCAGAAGAAACCAACCGAACTATTAAACAACTGGAGTGCGAAAGAAGCCCCCCCCTAGATTGGAGTTGAGCTTCGAGGATCAGGGCTTGATGATTTTTCAGCTCCGTGGGGCCTCTGGACGGCTTGTTGCCGCCACGGCCAGACTCTTCTTGCAGCTCCTACCAGCACGCACCCCGTGGACAGGGGCCCCGGGATGGGTGCCCGAGCCCCGGCCCGGGGCCCACCCTGAAGCCCAGGAGCCCCGCGGGAGAAAGGGTCCCGGAGGTCTCTCTGGCGTGTGCCGGGCTGTGGAAGTCGATGAATGGAGAGGAAGCGTGCTGCCAAATGATTTCCAGATGTCTAGAACATGTTTCAAGCATGCTTCAGATGTGGAAAAAACATGTTTGAAACATGTTCAGAACATGTTCTACACATTTAAAACACACTCTGCATTCAATGATAGGGTTGTGAGAGTGTCCATTGCCATGGCGTCCCCTCTCCGCAGCCATATCATGTCGGGCCGGGTGCGCTCCAACCCTCCATCCGGTATCGTCCAGTTCTGCTGGTAGGGGAGACCTCGGGCGTTGTGCCCCTGGCTCAGGGCGCCCCCAGCTTGTCGCTCACTCTTGGCGCCCCTGGGGCCCACTGGGCCTCGCGAGGGGTGCCCTGTAGAGGTCGGGGGGGGCTCCGTGGGAATCCTGGGGACACCTTGGGCCTCAGGTGCACTTCTGGCAACACCCGACAGCATGATCACACGGAGATGTGTGCTACTCATGGTCGCACAGATGGTGTTGTTGTCTTTCTCGTCGGTTGACAGCATGCAAGTGGGAGGCACGCTTTTCAAGAAGAGCCGCCGATCATGGGCGCAGCTTCGCCCGCATTTGATGAGTCAGTTCTTCACACCGTACGAGCAGTGCCTGTTCGCGAAACTCCAGGCGCGCAATGATTCAGCGATTGCGTGCGATACCATTGCCGACAACAAGCGAGTTCATTTGTTGCTTGACAATAAGTGTTTGGGCGACGGCAATGATCCCAAGGCGACTCCAGATTGTAATGGGTTTAATAATGTCGATGAGCAGGTCCTCCGTTGGGATGCCACACAGGGTGGGCCAGACTCTAAACCTTCGACGTTTCTTGACGTCGTACAGCGCCTCCCATCCGGCACAAACACCATCAAGTGGCTTACACCATTCCGCCGACCCCCCGCGGATCAGAGTTCGAGTGGCTGGGTGTTTTTCGTTCACGCCCGCGAGGGAGGAGGAGGAGGAGGAGGAGGAGGAGGAGGAGGAGGAGGAGGTGGAGGGGGAGGAGGAAGAGGAGGAGGAGGAGGAGGAGGAGGAGGAGGAGGAGGAGGAGGAGGATGGGAGGAGGAGGAGGAGGAGGAGGAGGAGGAGGAGGAGGAGGAGGAAGAGGAGGGCGGAGGGAGGAAAGAAGGATATTCGATGTGGACGCGGGGCTGTTGGGGTTTGACAGGAGCTGCTTGAGAGCTCCTGGGAGGCCTCCGGTGGAGGCTCTCGGGAGCCTTTTGTCGGCTCCTGGTATGCTCGTGGGGCTGGCTGGGAGATTAGAGTGGAACAGCCTCTAGGATGTGTATGAGGGTTTCTTGGAATGACTCTCAGGGGCCTCAGGGCTGTTGGGAGCATCTGGTTTTCTTTTTTGGAGCATCTTGGGAGCCTTTTGGGAGATTCTTGGGAGCCTCTTGGAAGCCTCTTGGGGGCCTCTTGGGGGCGCTTCGGGGATCACTGGGGAGCTCTAGCGGCCATCACGTCTGGAAAGACCAGAGCTGTCAGTTCGTATTGCCCTTCTTGGGCCCTCCTGCGCCGTCTTCGGGACCCCTGTGGCCGTCTTGGGGCCCTCATGCTTGGGCCTCCTTGGGGCTCTATGGGGGCGTCCTGGGGCCCCCTTGGGGCCGTCTTGGGCCGTCTTGGGGCGATCTTGGGGGCTTCTTGGACCGCAGTGGGCGCGGTAAAGCCGAAACTGGGGTGCATGTCGGAAGCGTACGGTTTCTTGTGAGAACGGCCCGATGTCTGCCGCTTGGTGCTCTCGCGGCGGTCCTCTGTGAGCACTCCTGGGCCGTCTTGGAGGCCTCGTGGGCCGTCTTGACGCCAGGAGGAGGAGGAGGAGGAGGAGGAGGAGGAGGAGAAGAGGAGGAGGAGGAGGAGGGCGGAGGGAGGAGGAGGAGGAGGAGGAGGAGGAGGCCTCGTGGGCCACCTTGACGCCACCGTGGGGCCGCCTCGACGCTCTCTCGGAGGGCCTCGGCGCTCCGCTTGAAGGCTCGCTCGGGACGTCGGGCCGTCCCGGGACCCCTCTGTGAAGGCTCCGGGGAGCTTGGCATCGCTCGGACTTGTGCATTTTTTCTCGGCGGGAGCCATCGAGGAGCAGCCTGGACCATCGAGCAAAGAAAAAGCACGCGCACGAGAGCGAACAACGCACGGGGAGGGGACGTCCGAGCGGCGGCAAGAGAGCGCCCGGGGTGCCTTGACGAGCGCGTGCCTCCGCCTCCCCTGGGAGCGAGTGCCCCCGCCTCCCCTGGGACCTCCCCCCGTTCCCCGGGCCCCGGGCCCCTCTCATGCGATGTCTTCGGGGGCGACGATAAGGGGGGATAGTGACTGTTCATTTCTAAATCTTCGAAAGGTCTTTGTTTTTTGGGGGGGCCAAGATCCTTTCATTTCTAATTGTTCTATCCTAGGCCTCTACCTGGCCACTAGGGGTGCAGGAACACGTAGAAACGAGTACAATTAGAAACGAGCACGATTAGAAATGAACGACGTGTAGGCATAGGGGGGATGCATCGACCTCCAATCGCCCCTTGATCGCCGATAGGGGCCCGATAGCCCCACCCCGCCCAGGAAGGTGCAGATTCACTATCGGGGGCCTATCGCCGATCTATCGACGATGTATCGCCGAGTCCAGGTCGATGCATCCTCCCCTCTATGCATACCCACCCCGATCGTTGCCTTTCATGTTTGGCCCCAGGGGTGGGGGAGAGGGGGAGGGAGACGGCGCCGCCGCTTCCTCGAAACTCTCGTAGACGTGCTCCGCCGCTGCTTCTGGTCATGTTCCACACGCACAAGTGCTTCCTCCTCAATCGGGGCGCTGAGATAGTTCAAGCGTCGTCTATCAGTGATGATTTATTTGCGTGCGGGTTGTTGACTGAGCAGCTGCGTCTTATAGCGCGAGTTGCTTGTCCTCCACAGCTCCTAGTGAAGATTTGAGCGTCAGCTGTGGAAGCAAGCAGAGGGAGAGGGCTAATTATGTCACGCGCCTTCTCTCATCCCGCAAGCGGGGACTGGTGGATTCTTTTCATCGGGGATTCTACCATGAAGCACGTCTACAAGGAAGCAGTATGCAGTCTCTTGCGCCATCTCCCAGAAGACTCGTTGGATGATTTGACATACTACGAGGGTGCAAACGGACCTTCGTTGGAAGTTAATCAAATCGGAACAGCAGCCGGAGCTAACAACAATGCAGTGAATGAAAAGAAGAGAGGATTCTGGGCAACCCGCGTTCCAGCGTTTGGCAGAGATGTTCTCATCCTGTTCAGGCGGCACGAGGGTGTTGAAAAAGATCGGGATTCAGTGTCCATACCCAGGGAAAAGTCCACAATCCACGCAGACGAAGCGGAGCTTGGAACACTCAGGATTGAGGCCGATGAGGGGGAGGAGTCCACATACATATTGTCCGCAGCGGAAGGCCGATCAATGTTTGAGACGATTTGGAGACTACGGGGAGGCATTCTTACTGTAGCCAGCCAGGCGTTCCATGTAAGACCCGTTGAAAGATATGAGGGGAGTCTGTATCCCTTCTTTGATATGTTGCAATTCTCTGGCCAGCGAGCCAAGGCAAGGACATTGTTCTTGGAACCCCAGGCGACGCATTTCCCACACACGGGCGGCTTATATGATGATCTGGACCCATCAAAGCGCAATTTTTCGGTTGGCTCTAATGGTTGCCGCCTTGATGTTTCGGCCGACGCTGGCCCAGGCAATTATTACGGGAGCATCGTGAACAAAGTGCTCGCAAGACACCAGTTTCCAAATGTTACGTTGTTGCCGTTTTGGGAAGAAACAAGCACAAGGGGTGCTGTCCACCGCGGTAAAAACGAATTTAGCTTGGATTGCCTCCACAATTGTCCTAACGCTTTGCTTCATGAACCAATTTGGGAGGGTATGCTAAAGTCAATCTCGCACCAAGAATTTGACTAGCCTTTCATGCCTCGGGACGGAGGGAGAGGCGGACCACAGTGGCAAGACCCTTGTGTGCAAAGCCGGTCTTTCCTAGCTGTCCATGCCGGGGGGGGTCCCTGAATATCATGCGCTGGCCTATCTGATCTATCAGTTCTGTTTTCGCCGCATTCGGCAGTGTGCGTGTAGAGGAGCGAGATCCGATAGGATCTTGATGCATGACTTTTGGATCGGGTGCGAGTCACCACGCCAATTTGTGCGTTTCTGCGCATTCGGCGCCCACTGGCGGCGGCCTGATATCTCGCTGGGGAAAGCTGGCATAGACTAGAGACTTTTGTCGTACATGTTGTTTCCGAGGGTAAAATCGGGGGCGGCGGTACGCGGGGATGGGCACAAGGGGGGAACGCATCGACCCCAATCGCCCACTCATCACCGATGTGGGGCCCGATTGCCCCGACCTCCCCAGGAGCGTGCGGATCTGCCATCGGTGGCCTATCGGCGATCTAGCTGCGATGCTTCGCCGATTCCAGGTCGATGTTCCCCCCCTTATGCCAGTCCTATCGGTGCCCCGCATAAAACAGATGCCTCGAAGACGCCTCCGAGAGCCCAGACGACGTGCACACGCTGTGCTGTGGTGTGGCCCTGGCCTGCGCTTCGGAGTGCCCTCTCGATCGGGGGGGCTGCTGGAGTCCTGCAGGGAAGGAGGATGGTGTGAGACGAGGAGGGAGGCAACGCAGGAGGACGAGGAGGATGGGTCGCACGAGGAGACGGTGCCGATACCGATGTCCCTGCTTCGATCTCGCTTGTTTGAGCCTCCCTTGGCAGGCCCTCACCGCCACCGCCGGATTTGCCGGGGAGTTCCGAGCAGAGCGCACACACCCTGGGAGAGGTCCGGGGAGCGTAGCGGCATTGGTACCTTCCGGTTTCCCCCCACATGCGCCGGAGGACGGTGAGGGGGCATTGCGTGAGGGGAATTAGGGAGAGGCGGAGGAGCGGCAGCAGTGGGCAGCAGCAGCAGGATCGGGAAGAGGAGGAGGAGGAAGGAGGAGGAGGAAGAGGAAGAGGAGGAGGATGAGGAGGAGGAAGAGGGATTGGGGGAGGGTAGGACGGGGGGGCACGTGTCCTCTTTCGTCCTCATATATCCTCCAATCCTTCTCTCTCTCTCTCTCCTTCGGTGCTGGCTCGCAGGCTCATCTGACGCGTTGAAAGCATCGAAAGGGATGGAGAGAAGGAAGGGGAGACAGAGCAATAGCACTGGGAGAGCGACCGTGATGCATTGGGAGAGTGACAGGACTGAGACGAGGATAAGCAGTCGACGAAGAATGGGAGAAGCAGCAGGATGAGGCTGGGGGGGGGGGGGGGGAAATGATGGGCTGGGAGTGACGAGGTGCGACAGGGGGAGCACGGACAGACGTGAGAGACGAGGATTCGGACGAGGGGGGCGCGCGCAAAGCGAGCGCTTGCCTTGGACAAGAGACTCGGCGCGGCCGACGCACGCGCGTGGCTGCACGACTCAGGGTTCAAGGGTAGGACGCGAGGCCACGGCACCTTAGTGGGCCCTAGAAGCGACAGGGCCGTTTTGTTACCGGTTCCGTTTTGCAGTTTTTGTTGCCGGTTCCGACGCCGTTTTTTTACCGGTTCCGTCGCCGTTTTTTGACCGGTTGCGGCTCAGGTTCCAATCCTGGAGCCGTTTTTTAGCCGTTTCTGGTCGCCGTTTTTTTGCCGTTTCCGTCTGCAAGGGGCATTTTTTGAAAACGGTGAAAAAAACGGCCCTGCCGTTTCCGGGGCCCACAAACGGCACACCAGGAGTGTCTATGGGGGGACACTCTTGCTACTCCATTCTCGCGGGTTGTGGAAAAACGTTCTACGGGAGAGCGAGGAATCCGCCAGGGCGTTCAATGGGGCAACCAGGAATTGCGCAAGTCGGACCAAGAGCGTTGCAAGAAAGACAAAGAGCGCCCCAGTACGACCCGAAGGAGGAACTTGGACTCCACTTGCACTGGAGTTGCAGCAATACCTCAACAACATTTCACACTGCCCGCAACGGGTCCCATGGAGGCGCCAGGCGGCCAGAACCATCGGCAGGCTACGGATTTCGCCCGAGGTTTCGTCGGCTGGGGCTTCCAGGCGCTTCAGCTCGACACGGCTCCAGGAGGCTCCTGGAGGACCCAACGGCCCCAATGACTGCTCGGGAGGACCTTCGACAGCCCCAGGAGAGCTCCAAGTTGCCCAAAAGAGTTCCCAAGAGGGGCCCAAGAGTGGCCCAAAAGGGGCACCCAACGATCTCATGCCGAGAGCCCTTGGTATGATGACGTCGGTGGCCCTCCTGGGAGCCCTCTTGGGAGGAACCCTCTCGGGGCCTTCTTGGGGCCCTTGAAGGAGACCTCCGGGGGAGGACGGCCCGGGACGGTCCCCAGGAGGGCCCGAGGCCGACATGAGAGGCCCGCGAGAGCGAGAGAGACCCGGGACAGCCCACCGAGTGCCCCAAGCCAGGCCGGGCTCGCCGAGCCTGACCGTCCCGGGCCCTCGGCGCGACATGGCTCTCAGCGATCGAGGGCGGAAAAGAGGGGGGTGATGACTAGGGGGGGGGGGGGATATCATGGCGTGGGCCATGATATTTCCCCAGATTTCATGGCGCCTCTTCTTATTTCATTACGTCCCTGGCCCCCCCGCTGGGCCGCGCACATGCCGCCAGTCATGATTTGCACCCCCCCCTCTTGGACACCCCCCCTCGGGCGTTGCTCCCGAAGCCGCAACTCGCGCCTGGTCGAGCCTTCACCGGTGGGGTTTTTCCAGTCCCCAGCCGTTTCTGACATGTCGGGGCCTCGCAGAGGGTGTCTCCGTGGGCTCAGGCGCCCACCTCCTCTCCTCCTCCCCTCCTCCTCCTACCTCCTCCTCCTCCTCCTCCTCCCCCCTCTCCTCCTCTCCCCGTCCTCCTCCTCCCTCCTACCATCTCCTCCGCCACCATACCCCTTCTTCTCCTCCCTCCACGCCTCCGCCCGCTACGCTCGGCCTCCGCGCCTCCTCCTATCCTCCTCCTCCTCCCCTCCGCCTCCTCTTCCTCTTCCTCTTCCTCGGGTCGCCTACGGCCCCCGGGGAAACCGTGCACTTGCAAGGGCCCCCACGGGGTGAACATTGTCAACAATTTGCCGCCATGACTTTGTTACGACGCGAGGGGGCTTGGGCCGTGGTTCCAAAGTCGAGCGCCGGACATGTCCTGAGGTGCGCTATAGCAACACAAATCCAAGGGAAGCCATCCGTGACCATGAGGGCGCCCCAGGAGGCCAGGAAAGGGTGAAACACATTTAGAACCCTCGACCTTCGAACCTGTTCCTCCCTCCTGCTCAGAAGCGCGCGACCGGAGGAGTAGAAGCATGAGGAAAGAGTCGCAGGACGCAGATGAGAAAGAGCACGTAATGATTTACATATCTCACCTGGTCCCCCCCTCGTCCGCGCACATGCCTCGGGTCAGGAATTACGACCCCCTCTCCTGGACGTCCCCCTCTCGGAAGCCCCCGAGAAGGCCCAGCGAGCCTCAGACCCGTTAAGAAGGTCCGAACGAGCTAGCCACGGAGGGCTGCGCCTGTCGAGTGGTGCTTGCTGTCCAGCAGCCAGTTAGCAGTCCTGCAGCGGCAGGCGGCAGGGACGGAATGCTGCTGCTGCTGCTGCTGCTGATCATGATGAGGATGATGATGCTGATGCTGATGTTGATGATGATGATGATGCTGATCACGATGATGATGATGCTGATGCTGATGATGCTGTTGATGATG